TGACAACTCCTATTATCTGCTAGTAAAATTAATTTTCAAATTGGAAATAATCCTTCAATATTACAATATCTACTAAGTTAGGTAAGGAATTAGCTGGAAGATGTGTCACTATTTACAAAATCTGATCTTGTGGTATACTGGTATACAGTATAAAGAATGTGTATCAAAAGTTACCAATATGACCTTATGGCCAATAGGAAAGGAATATTTTTTTAAAAAATAAATGAATGGAATGAATGATTTTAAATAAAAAAAAACCCTACACACTGAGACAAATTTGTAAAACACAACAATTGCTAAAAACAATGTCAGCTTGGTGGAGAAAAAATATTTTCATGAATCTTAAGCAACGTATAGAAGACTAGCATTCTTATGTTGAATTTAGAATTTACATAAGAATTTCTTATGTAAGAAATTATACTAAAGGCAGCTAATAATATACTATACTGTATGTACCAAGGAATAATATATGTTTTCTTGAGCTTTTAGAAGGCAAACTGGGTTATGTATCAGATAAATGCTTTGTATAAATGTTATCCACCTATTATTTAGCTAGATAGACATCTGAAAAAAATATTCAGTTTCATATGTTTATTCTTTAAGGTCAATATTTATGACTTTTAAGTCTAGAGATTAGAATACTCAGTCTACCAAGCAGAATCCAAGGTTATTAGTTAAGCTGCCTAATCATAATGGGAGTTGTAGTCCAATGCATCTGGAGGCAGCAGATTTGGAAAGGCTGATTTGGATGTTGTAAATCTCATTTTATTTTATTTTTTTTCTTGCCTCTAAGTTTCCTGCCTCTAATAACTAGTAGTTCAGAAAGAAATATCCCATAGAAATTCAAGTGCTTTCTCAAGAGAAAGAGAATTAGCTTTATTCTTATTCTGAACCAATTTCCATGTATTATTGTTGACAATAAAGCCATGTTTCATGTAAGTACAACTGGCTAAATCGTTACACATATCCATCATTTTTATTTTGTATTGCTTTTAAAATAATAACAGAAAAAGAAAAAAAGGAACAAAACACAAAGATAATCATGATAGAAATGCATACATTGTCAAAGAAAAAAAAACACATAGCAAGTGCTTTAAAAAAAGTGAAAGAAAAGAAAAAGTATAATATATGGTTATAACGGTAAACAGTTTCAATTCAATATTAATCTAATGCATCTAATGCAAATATTGCACAAGTATAAATATATTTATTTCTAATACACTTATATAACTATCTTTTTTTTTTTTAACCTTCTGTATTTTGCATAAATAAGTCCCATATTTCATTATACTTGTCCACACAAAGTCTAAGTCTATAGGCAATCTGTTCATAGGTAGCAAGTGTAATCAGATCTTCGATCCATTGAGTGAACAGGGCCATACATTTATCTTTCCAGTACTGCAGTGTAAATCTTTTAGCTATAGTCAGATTGTTTCTCTGGCACAAAGAATCCATTTACATTGTCCAGTTGTCAAACTCCATGTACTAGGTATGTAATTCAAGAGAATATTATCCTCATATAGCTTTTGTCGCACAGTCACATTTATATAGTCCACTACTTTCTCCCAAATCTTAGTAAGTATAGGG